TGTAGCGTCCAATATCTTAACAAACGCAGGTTGTCTGTTTGAGCCTTTATTGATCCACTACAATAAGATACGTTCTGAAATAATAATAAATAAAGATACTTAACATCTATACTTCATGATCCTTTTCAATATGACTTACTTATATAATGACTGAATGTCACTGTTATTAAATCAATTTCTTTTATAAGTGCATTACAAAGTTAAGAAGAAACAAATTAATTCCAAAATTAAATGATAACATACATAAACTAGCTACTCACTAGACTTGTCTAGCCTCGACTTGTGAAACATGACAAAATACGTATAACCTTTGTCTGCTGACACTGTAATAAATATAAAACAACTTCATGGAATTATATAGCTAGCTGAGATAAACATACTCAATATCTAAGGAAAGAAAATAAACGTAAACTAACATGCCTGACAAAGTTCGTTTGTTAACCACGCCTAATACATTCATGCATTATAACACGTGTTCTTAAAATGCCTTTACATTACTTGCAAATTTATATGCTAATTACGTAATGAGCTATAAAATAGGTCTAGTAACCAAGCAACATATATAAAATGAGTTTTAAGAAAGGACCGGGCAAATACATACTGTACTTATTTGTCTTTTTTCCTACTTTCTCTTCATACGTGCGAGTGTTGCGTCCTCCGTGAATCTGAACGTGTGCACCTCTCTCAACTTACGAATCTCTTTCTTCTAAAGATCATTTTCTCAACCAAATACATAGCAATTGCACCGAATGCAGTATGTGAGACTACATGGTAATTACTTTCCCTTAAACACGGGATATAGAATTCTAGCCACTACAATATCTTTATCCAAATACACAAATTAAAAGCTCATTTTGTACATTTTTGGCTTTAAAAAAAGGTCCTATTTGCTCGGCCTGGGAGTTAATGAGCTACGTGGTCACGTGGTCCGATGACGACAATCGTGCCACCGGAGAACAGAGCGTGCTTAGCTGTCAAACTGAGCTGCATTGTCTACCTGTAAGATGCTTTCTCTGGCTTCTGATAAAAGTTTATACTCATTCAAACCTCTTACTCGAGGGGTCTAAATTCTAGTGAAGCTGTGTAAAACCATTTCCCGTATAGTCAATTCTTTAACAAGCATTTAATTATGGTCATCCCAAGTTGTATAAAACACTACATTTGAATGAGTTAAGGGTACTGTTGTTTATTGCATATGAGGTCCATGTTATTTGTGAAATTCAATTAATTTAATTAAACCGATGACACTCCGTCTTGCATACCTTTATTAAACTGATGTAAACAATGCCCGTTACCTTTACAAGTCCTATCTTAATCATCCATCTAACAGGAAATTCCTTTTCCTCTTAATTAGAGGGTTAAATGGCATTCAATTCTCCTGTAGCTAGTATCGAACGCACTCTCCCTGTCGATATTTATCTCAGGTAAAAATCTACCTGTGCGTTAGTTTTAAAGAGCAGCTTCCGCAGACCTGGGGGTACTAGATAAAATCTGAACACCAGGTTTAACGAAGAGCTAGAGAAAGAAAGGAAGGATTTTTCCTGCACAGCTTCATAGGAATTTTAACATGGACTTGATCCAGCTGAGACCACCAAACTAACAGGATGACATGAGCAATTTTCACAAACAAATAATAAAACTATATTTCAGCTAGCCTCCTTTTAAATAAATATATCGTTCTGGGTAAATTAGTATATTTATTAAATCGCGAGAATATTTTTGACTTAAATGATGATTTTATTATTAATAGAAATTAAGCTACTATATGAGGTACATTTGCTGTAGTTACGCTGTCCCTCATGTTTTGCGTTAGTCTACATTTTGCTGTACGTGCTTGTAATTTTGTAATCTGTGCGTACAACTTTTGCAGGTCTGGTTACGCCCCTGTTATGTGATGACAGTCTAAATTAGTTCCTTAGCTTATTTAAATAGAATTGCAGTGTAAAAAATTCAACAAGATGTTGGCGCAATCGCCCTTTACTCTCTGTGGATATTTCCCCCCTCAAAGTTTGCCTATTTGTCTAAAATTATCTTTCAATCTTTACTCTTTCAAGGACAGTATAAAGTTATCTGACATATTTTCGTGAATACTTAATGACAAGCCAAGGGTCTCCAGTTCATTTCGTACTCAATTTCAGCCTAGCAATTCTTTTCTTGAGTAGATCTTTATAGCACGGTTTTATAAAACAATTTTTTAAGAAGAGGGGATTTAAATCAATATATAAAAAAATTGTAGCCTCATACTTAAAAGAATTGGGTATCTTCCGCTTTTCATAACATACTAAGTTATATACAATGAACTAAGTTATCAGAAGTGCTCTTTTTTGCACCCAACATTCTTTTTTCAAAGTCCGTGTGTGGCCTTCTCATATCCCTTACCAGGTTAAATTTCCATGCATAATTTCAAATATACTAACGTACATGTACGTAAAACTGCACATTTAGTAAACACATTAAATTAATGATTTTTTCCATGCTACCAGTAGCAAACAATGCTCTTTTACCTTGATCTGCTACATGTTTTGGGGTTTGACAAAGCTTACAAATCTGCACAAAGTGTTGCGTACAGACGCAGAACTTGCGTTTATAAAATGATAAACCTTTTAAATTATTTAATATTTCAAAGAAATAACCTTCAGAAACAAATCTTCAAAGCATAAAGGTATTAAGATTACGAACCATTTTATTACAGCAGTTCGCATTTTTTCTTTAATATAGCGCTCTTTTTCTTGTTTTTCCTCAACACGTTTTCTTCCAAGGAAGTAATATCTGGGCATACGCATGCTTCAAGATAGAGAGCAATTTCTTTTATTAATGTTCGCGACGGTGTTTAACTTTAATGTTCGCGACCGTGTTTAACCTTAATTGTTAAAATAATGATATTTAACGTCATTTACAAATATCATTAAAATAACCCCATGAAATAAATGAGATATATTGAAAAATATGAATGCCCACCAAGTCGAGTTTGAGCTTGCTGTAATTATACATTATTGCTCCTTTCACTGGCTTTAAATACTCTGAATGGTATTATTAACTTAAACACGTGTTTATTGTTACTTGAACTGTCTGTATCTCTAATTATCAACCCAGGTAAATAATGACCACTGCATGTTGACTGTCAGTACAGTTAACATATGTTTAGAGTACTACATTGGCCTATGAACAGGTAAACAGCACCTGGGGGGGGGGGGTAATCACAATACTAATGTTGCGATAGCCTTAAATACCATGAATGGTAATATTACCTGAAAATGAAGATATTGTCATGAAACTGGCCACTATCCCACTTCTAAAATACGTTTCAAAATCTGGCTAATCATTTGGAAATAAATATCAAATTATCATATTAAAGATGGAATAAAGCATAATAGTCGAGTAATGGTTAATGAGTAGAAGATATGCCCCACCCTATGCAAATCCATTTTGGCTGGTAAACCCTATAGGTTACGTAGAATAATATATGCGAAGTCCGCACAGTGTATTCCCCGTAAATCCTTCTGTGCGGTGGAAGGGGTTGGCCGTGCGAAATCATACGAAACTGCATGGATTCACGGCCTATGTAGCCTCTACGACAGACATTTAAGCGGATTAAGTCGATGGCAGTTTAGTGAGATTCCCCGGGGAGATGGATCGATCCAAATATCTGTGGGAATGGTCCATATGTTATGGCATAGTTTCTGCACGAGCCCCGCTCAGTTACCTTGAGTGTCAGTTCACAATATTGTAATGGGATCGCTTTTACTAGCCCTGATGAAAAGCGACCATGTTCGATTTCCGTCAATCATATAGAACTGTTCCGCAGTGAATCTGCAGTTGAATGTCATTAGACAAAATAAAAAGGCAAAACAGCTCAATTCTGCTTAATTTTATTTACTGTATTTAAGATGTTAGTGAAAAATAAATAATATATTTCTAAAGAAAAAGATATATCGAATGTTTTTTGTATTTTTTGCCTATCAAAAAAACATTTGCTCCTTAAAATACAGACTTGACATTTACCTTGTAATATGGAATATTTCAGTTTCGAATGTAAGCCTAGGTGAAAATGCGTTTTTATTTTACAAACTCCGATCTCATAAAATATATGTGAATGAAGGAGTGTAAAGTCAGGTGTGTCGCTACCAATTAACTGATTACCAGATTTGTTGCGCTGCTGCATTATGTAATATGAAGTGATTTAATTGGGTAGTGCTCCTTTGGGCAGTTCAAAGCTTGGCTTTGGCAAAGCATGGTTCTGTCAAAAAGTATCCATATGTCGGCAACTACTGCATAGAAGAATTTGAAATTTTGCATGCAAGTGGACGGGTTAACATTGTGTAAAATGAGCTACGCTGTGCTTTACAAATTTGTTAATATGTGGCAGAATGGCGCAAGAAAGACAGGCATTGCCAGACAGGTAATTGCGCCAAACGAAACAGTCCGCACAGTTTTACAGAGTAATGCCCAGACTGATGTACCTACACAGAGGCCACATTCAATGTATAGAAATCTTACCACCAGGGTACAGGACCTACTGTCTTTCGGGATATGCTGTTGCAACTAAACAAAAACCACCAAGTCCGTTCACAATGAGGGGTAAATTACCAACAAAACGCATTTTTCAGGCCCTTAGCGAACACCAAACTTATTTTAGCAGGTTAGAATACCAGACGATCTCCGAGGAACCCACTGTAAACAGCAAATCATCGTTGTTTGTTTCTCTATTGAATTGGAGACCTTGACTGTTTCTGGGTCGAACACTGAAATCTCGTGGCTTTCTTTATTGAGGTCAAATTTCATCTGTACTGCTCAACAGTTAAAACAGAGTTTACAGACATCCAGAGGAGGCCAACGTCTAAAGTGACAAAGGTCATTAAAAGCTTCAGTATTTGTAGTGGATGCCACATTGGTGCCAAAACACCAATTGTAGTCATCGACGAAAACCTGAACCAGATTAAATAAAGGAATAATCTGGGAACCACTTAGCTATCATTTGATAGGCGGCACCTTAGAAACAATTTATGGTTGCACGGTAAGATTGCCGGTTCACACAGAGCACTTTTAATAGCAGTTTACTTACAGAACCAAGGGAATGAGCAGCTACCTTGGTCATCAAAATCGCCATATTTGAACCACATAGACAATAAGTGGGTTAGCCATTACTCTCCGAACCAATGGACTACATGTCCTACAACAAAACTGGACCAAATTGGGCAGATTTTGACCGATGCCTGGAATGTTATTCCAGATTGAACTTTAGAAAACCTATCCCAAGGAATGCCTTGCCACTTGAGAGCGCTGGAAGCAGCCAGAAGAAGTCAGGCGTATCATCGACCGTTACTGTGACTAGACACTGACATGAGGGTCCTTTCTGGAGCGTTTAACTCTTTTACAGACAATAATTTGGAGAATATGGATGTCCAAAATATCCCTTTTAATGGTTGTCGTATGACATAGAATAGACATTGTGTTTTTGTTTGCTTCTCTGGCGAATTCCATTAATGAACTGATGTCACAATGACATCAAAGCGATAATTAAAAGTTATTAAAACACGATTTTCATTTATCAGTCTGCAAAATAGGAAAAACTGATGAAAACTGATTTTAAAAAAATCCATATTAAATGTCAAGTCTGTATAAACACAATACACGTGGTTTCCTTGTGCCAAGTTTGCCAGCTACACTAGGGTACCTAGGGTACGCTTAGTGACTTTCAGGGAACATGCAGTGATCGCGTTTTTTTTTTTTTTTTTTT